CCTACTTCTTAATGAATTTTTTATAAATAAATAAGCTCTCAGGACAAGAACCTCGCATCTACAAAAGGCCATAAGAAATCCATCTTTCTCAAACGAAAGAAGTAGCTGGTCCCAGAAAGCTTGTGCATAGCTCTCATATTGTTTTGTTAGATTACGCCTTCATTGTTTTTTTTCTTCTAAAGTTGATAGGGAATAAATGGAACACTTATTGTGTTTGATTTAATGATGTTACCATTGGTAAGAAAGGTGAAACGTTGGGATCAAATTCAGGGCAAGAGAGTTATAAATGGCCACTAAGTAACTCAAAATCTTGAGAAAATGGGTCATTGCAACTATATTAGGAATTCAACTGTTGTTGCCCATGTGAGACTATTTCCCTTTCTAAAATTGAGCTTAATAACCATAGGACTACTGTAAACGTGAGATCATAAGAATGGAAATGAAGAGATTAAAGAAAAGTTCAACAGTAGAGTTCATTAATACTACTTGCCCATTGCCAATCTTCCTCCTTTTTTTTCTATGTGCTTCTCTTAGCATTTGAGAGAGAAAAGGTGAACTGTAAGCATGGAATGAAAACTGATTCAAACAGTAGCAGTTCCATATTTTCTCAAACCAAAAATACTTTATCCGGTTCAGTAAGCCAGTGGCCGAGGTGTTTTAGTCAAGGATTGAGTCATTGACATGGATTCATAAAGAAGACAACCAAACTAAGGATGTGAATGAAATTGCATAGCAACCACTTGAATAAAGAAGATTCAATAGGTTTGTAGCACAGCCCAAAAAAGCAACTCTCACAGGCATAAGATCAACTATAATTTCACCAGATCTGGCTATGAAATTTGAGATGTGGATGACTTAGAAAATCCTGTAACTTCGCCAGATCTGGCCATTGAACTGCTGTGATAATAGATCACAGCAGTGAAAACGACTCGCCAGATCTGGCCATTGAACTGCTGTGATAATAGTGAAAACGATAACAAATCAATGAACTAGTATTTGAGCTCATTGAATAACAAGCAGTTAAAATACACATAAGGTATTCACAAAGGAGGACATGAGAACTCACTGATCCATCCATTGAACTGCCGAAGAAATATTGCTCATCAGATTGAAGTGCTACCACACTGCATAATGGTAAAAATAGCTAAGAAAATTATAAAAGAGAAGTAAGTTGCATACAGTGAAAAAATTTTCGATAAATCAACTCATGAAACACCTGCGTATAGAAGATACCTGCAAACTGCAGAAGGCATGAATACTGCATTTGAAGAGTTTGAATTTCTCCTGGGCTGCTTTAAAAATTATGCAACCAAGGTAAGTTAAAATTCAAAAACAAAAATGCCAAATGTTTTGAAAATATACTCTCAACTAAGATTCATCCAGATGTTATTAACACTCTTTTCTCATACAAAAAGGTAGCAGTTTCATAATTCATGTCAATAATTACAAAGCCAACTACGAGCTTGCAAAATTTCTTATCAATCTAAAAGACAAATAAATCACGCTTTCATATAACCCTTTTTTTTTATTTAGCACGCAAAAAAATAAATCAGGCTTTCATATAACCCCATAGTTTCCACGTATAGAAATGACACTCATAATATTGCTTTTGCTTCAATGGCTTTTTTGAACGCTTATTATTTCTTTTATGAATTTTCATTATTTCTGAATCAGATAGTGGATTCCTTTTACTGCAAAACTTCAACTGCTCTCCTAATCAAGATATGCAGGTTTTTTTTTCTCTATACAATCAAGATATGCAGGTTGGTACTGAAAGTTTTGGCTTGAAGGTTTTTTACCCCTGCAAAAAAAAAAGATACACTTACTTCTTTATGTGGATTTTGCATCCTTGATGCACGTCTAGCTGAAACCTCAAAACATTTGGGTTGTCTTTGTCTAACATCAATTGCAAGAATTGTTCCATTTCTAATACCACATAACAAAATATTTCCCTGCAGCAGACAAAACAAACTAATGGTATCAACAGAAAAAACATTAAAAAGATCAATAATCTGAAACTAATTTGACTACAAAGAGGCATGAAAAGAAGTGTAAAAGTCAGGAAGAGATTCTAATCTATCAAATATATGAAATCATATTCTTCTTCGCCCATGAGAAACAATGTTTTGACTTAAGAACCTCATCATGAATCATGTATCTGTCTTAAACAAGAATCTATCTCTCTGGCATAGCAGAAGAGAATGTGTAGGGTAACAACATGAATACATAATGTGAGAAAAAAGTACAAATTTATGCAGTAAAATTTCCATTAGTATTTGGTTGTGTTTGCTGTGTTCTTTATATGCATTTAAATTAATTATTAGTGTACAAAATGTCAGTTAGGTTTAGTTTGCTATTTGGTAAAGGGAAATTTTGTAACATTTTAATAAGCTCTCTTTCTAGAAATAAAGCCGAGTTGCAGCTGACTTGTATTTAAGATGGAATGATCTACGTTGGGGATTCTCTCTTCTAGGGTAACTACTTGCTAATCCAAAATGCAATGCAAATTGCATTAGTCTTTGGTCATGTGCATGCCATGTGATTTCCTTTTATTATTCTAAATTAATTATTAGTGATTTAAAATTCATTTAAGGTTAGTTTAGTACTTTATATTTATTCAAAGGGGTAATTTTAAAGTTTTTAATAAGCCTTATTTCTAGAAATAGAGAATATTGTCTTGCACTTGATTTAGGGGATGTTTGGTTTGATGAGTTTGTGTTGTGAGGTAAATAAAATGCGGGGGTTTTCAAATTTTCAGCACTTGGTTGGTAGAAAACAAAATGTTATGTATAATTTTTGAGAATTTGAAATTCGCCATACAGTTCAAAACAAGTGTAATACGAATTCGTTAGATTTTAACAATTTACAAATACAATGTAAACTATAGTCCTTCTCCACCAGCACCCGCCTCCCCCCCCCCCCCGCCACTAGCGGCAGCAACCACCCGCAGCCTCCAACTCTCCCCCACCTGCTTTGCTAGCTACCGCCAGACTCCTCTGGCCACCGCCCACCTGCCACCACCTGCCACCATCCAGTCGCCTACCGCCAACCGCGTTTTACAATAATTTTATTTTATTTTCTAACCAAATAAAAAAAAAATGTAAGTTCATGTCTTTATTTATATTGAACCAAACAACTCCAAAATATTTCAATTACATTACATTCTTTTTACACTATATTTCTTTTTCAGCAAACAAAACAACCCCTTAGTGTTGAAGACGGAATGAGATTGAAGGATATTTCAATTACATTAAATTCTTTTTACACTATTTCTTTTTCAGCGAACAAAACATCCCCTTAGTGTTGAAGATGGAATGAGATTGAAAGTTTTTTTATAGCCTCCTCTTCAAGGATTCCCTTCTTTCAAGACTTTCACGTACACCTTTGTCACTACCTTTTTCCTACGATCCCACCTCCCTTTTAGGCATTTATTTTCTATCAGTGTCCTGAAAAGCATTGTTTGAAGCATGCTTTTCACAAGAAACAATGCAAAGCACCACTGGTATATTTTTAAAAAGATAGTATCTACTATGTTTATTATTGATTTGCCTTTCAATATTAACGCTAATTTTATATCCTGAGGGCTATTACCTAATAGAAACCTATTAAAGCTCAAAATTTCTGACTAGTATCTTTGCAAGTGGATTCTAAGATCCCACTCCATTTTTTATTCTTCCACTAGTTGTGGTAACCGTTCCACGTTCAGTGATCATTAGATATTTTTCAGTTCCTCACAAAGTTGACTCAACCAATAGGCCTGTTGGGTTATGATCCGTTTTCAATTCTTGCTAACACCATGAATTTATCTTGTCTAGATAAATTCATGCCAATAATAAGCAGGGCTTTCTTTCTTAGTCAGTACCACCTGAAGGTTAAATGAACAAATCAGTATTCCAAAGTAGAAAAACAACCAAAAATTAAGGTTTCTCTTCATAAAGTAACACAATTTCCGTGCTCCACTTAACATTTCTAAAAACCGTAAAAATCACACTTTTCCAATATTTGCTTTTAATAGAATACTCAACTCCATGATAGATATCTCTTCTTGCATAAAACGTAACTGTTTCTTAAATGCCGACATTACTATCTCAACCTTTTTCAAAAAGCCATCTCACGTAAATTCATTGTGTTGCCACAATTTTTTATCTTTCCCATTGTCCTTAGATCCCAGTTCCGAATTGTTTACCAAGCACTTGGTAATTGGCACCATTTTTATTTGGATTTTCATTAACAAATTTGTTAACCATATCAAAATCTTACTAAAAATATAATTTAGCCCCAAAGTTTACCTTATACATCTCCTTTAAAGCAAATATGACTTGACTTAATTAGATAATGCATAATACAAAATTACACTCATTTCTGCTATAAAATGACTTCCTTATACTACACCACTGATATTCACTCAAATTAGCAATTTCAATTCTCTCATTTTTTTTTCTCTCTAACTACTATACTAACTTACGCATATATAGCTAACTTCATCAAAATTTGTAAACCTTTTTTCTTTCTTTCTTTAGCAGTCATATAAATCTCCTCTTCTAGCTTTGAATCTAACCAACCATATAAATCATTAAAAGCTCAAATTTCTGCATTCCTTCTTCATTGCAAGACTTTCAATTTCTGTGAGATTGTTTTTCATTGTTTAACCGGTATTTGAACATGATCAGAAGACAATTGCAAACCATTTTACTCCGACTAATTGGTTGACACAGCTTAATTCATCAACCAAGAAGTTTAAACCATGCAAGGCTTAAGAATTGTATATCAACTCAATGAGCATTAAGAAATGATGTATTATGCAGGTATAACATTGATAACAAAACGCTCATAACTACTCCAAGCTTGTATTTTCAGGTGTAGGTCAACGGTTTTGGCCTTTCTTTTTGACTTGACAATTTCATGGGGTCTCGAAATTTTATTAAATGCACTATATAGTCAATGTAAACAAAACATCAGTAACTTAAAAAAATAGCATTTATAATGCTAATAAAATCCAAGCTTACAGAAATATCAAACTGTTGTGACAGAACATCACTTCTAGAACGATACAAAAGAGATGACCTTCCTGTCTCTAAATTGATCAAAGACACTCCAAAATTGGATCCTGCTAAAGCAAAAAAAAAATGTCATATCATATTTCCTAATTAGAAGGTCATAGAAAATTAGTTGCAATATTTACATTGCAAATTCAACAGTTATCCAGTAAGGATGATAAATGTCAATTTTTACACAATATACTCAAATCAAAGATGATCATTTGTTTTAAAATTTTATCTTAACTAATAAATACACAAGTTTATGAGAAAGAAGTAGAACAAGTTCTCAGAATCTTCACAAGAAAAGCAGGAAACACACTTTGCCTTGGAAGTCAGACAAGGATTACCTGTATTTTGACAGGATCCTCGATCCTAATTAAATGATTCAAGCTTTGCTCAAGCTCCCAATAGAAGAAAACAAAAATTAGAATCAAAAAGAGGAATCCATTTATCCAACTCCTCAGATCATCATCTCCAAATGGGATATTTATAGATTTAAGATAATTGCCCTACTAATCAACCTATTGTTAACTACTAAAATTATAATAAATAAGGTCAAATCATTCTTTGAGTATAAGAACTCAACTGTGAATTGAAAATTGACGTACACGTACAATAGTCATTTCAACATCAAATAAAACATGTTCATCATCAAGTTAATTAAAATCAGAATAGATGTAATAGTTATTGTTTTTAGTATTTGCCTTATAAGCTTATTTTTCACTGAATGGGCTTCAATCTTGTTGTATTCCAAGTTATACGCATGTGCTCTCCAAAACAAAAAGGAAAATTTACACATGTACCACACAATTTCTATGTGTTTGTACATCTAGCGCCAAAAGTTTTATTTTACACTTATAATACATTAGTGTTAAATACAAAAGAATTGTGTGGTACTTATGTAAATACTCAAAAAACAAACACAAAAAAGCCATTGCTGTGAAAAGTTTGATTAGTCTCCATTTTTCATTTAATTTACGAGCCACATCATCATTTTCCCTTGCTACATCGAAAAAAGTATCAGTTAGTTCACAATCCAAGAACACGAGTCCATTTCTATTTAGTAATAACTGTTTCGGTTGTTCAATCATTTCTTTAACTGAGTGAATCGGTCCTCATCAAAAAATTATGCAAGAAGAATAAGCTTTTGAACTGGGGAAACTACATTATATTCTCCATACTCCCAACCAAAAAACTTGAAAATATTTTGTAGTTTTGCTTCACGGACAAGCCTACATGATAATCATTATCTTAAGAAATTCTACTAAGGCAACAAAAATCAAGTAAATCAGGGCGGAAAAAAAGGAAGATTTACATGCATACTATCTTACATATCTAACACCTAACTTCAATTTTTACATATGCCACCTTACCTATGCATGAAAAGGTGTAATTCACTTTTTAAAATTTCAAATGGCGGTATGAATGATTTGGGAGGTAAAAATGTAAAAATTAAAGTTTAGGTGTTAGATATGTAAATACATAAGATTTAGGTGATATGTATGTAAATGTCCCAAAAACAAAAAGCAAGCAAATGAGACTCACAACATCAATAGGGAACAGATTAGAGCTTGAGAACTAACCGATTGCTGCTTTTGTACTGCAATGGCTGGTGTCAGCAGTCCATATTGTACAATCACATGACGAAACTTTATTAATCCTTCTATTTAAGCGGGAAGAATTTTCACTAAAATTCAATGGCTCTCTAAGGTTCAGAAGATAGACAGATCCACCACTAACACCTGAACCAAGAGTGGTCACCATGTAATCTACTGTTAAGTACAACATTTTTTAGCATATCGAGGAAGCCTGACGAAATACAAGGCATCCCAAATTACTTTTTTATAAAAGAAAAAATAATTAAACTAAAAGAAGAATAATGAAAAAATAGGATACAAGGCATGCTGAAAGCATGAAATATTATCAGTTGTATTTGGAGTATTTCTTCCAATTCTTTTAATACAAGATATACTGGAAGGCAGATTTGTAAATGCTGCTGAATTTGAAAAGATCCCAGGTGCACAATTATGAGAGTCTCTCAAAGAGGGCCAAACAGGTGCCGGCATGTAGTTAGGCCCATAATCACTGCGCCGTCGAACATTTTTTATCCCATATAAACTGAGAAAACATTACAGAATACATATAATTAATTAAACGAAAAAAGACAGTTCATAAAAACAAGATAATGATAAGTTCTAAGTGCAACTCAAATCAGAAGTAATAAAAAACTAAGGGATGTCAAGAGCAAGCATTACAACTCTCAAACCAAAAGAAACCGTGAAATTACTAAGAATATGTTTATGTTCTCCTTTATAGCTCTCTCAAAATTGGAGATACAGGTATGTCAAAGTAAATATTGATGCAAAAAGTATTTTCAACAGCAGTATATAGGATAACATAAAGTGAAGGTTCAAAAACCATAATAATATCTTTTGATTGACAGATTGAAATCTCCCAAAGATTATTAGCTCAATGATGCTATATGTATTAACATAAATATTTTTTTTTAAAATCCTTGGACTTTAAACAAAGCTTATGTGCACATAATTATATTTCTACTCAAAGACACTGTATTTCATAGTTATGCTGTATCAATCTTATTATGGCCAATACTAAGAGTTTTTTCTCAAGATAACCAAATAAAACAAGCAGTTTTCTTCTTCTTTGATGTTATTCTACAGTTTCCATTAATATTATAATGACATATCATCCTCCATAAATTGTTTCTATTACACAATAACCAAGCTAGCCTATATCAATTATTCCTCTACCTAGCCCTGCATCAACTGATATCATAGTCAAGCCTAGAGCCATAAACCAGTCGAACTAGAGCAAACACCGAATTTATTTGTTCGTGTTTGGCTCATTTAAAAATGTAATTGTTCAAAATCGGCCCATATTCTAAATAACATGTGCCTAGCATGCTTGTGTTTCATTCATTTGAATTTGTTTATCCATGCGTAGCTCCTGTTCAGCTCATAGTTAGCTTGAATTATTTTAAAAATACAAAATTTTCATATTTGCATATATAAACATTGGAGTTCTAGAAAAGAAAAGTGTTGATATAACTTATATTCAATTCATTAAAGATATGTATATTGAAGTCGTTACTTGTATTCAAACAGAAGAAGGATTAACCAAGTATTTTCCTATTTTAGTTGGATTACATCAGGGATATGCTTTAAGCCCATATCTTTTTGCTTTAGTTATGGATGTCCTTACAGGACATTTACAGGAATATGTACTTCGGTGTATGCTTTTCGTTGATGATATCCTTCTTGTGGATAAGACTAGAGAAAGATTTCAAAAAAAACTTGAATTTTGGAGGTATTCATCGGAGTCTAAATGCCTTCGTGTGAGTAGATCTAAAACTGAATACATGAAATGTAAT